GTGTTCATTATTACATAATAACACAGTCTAATCACAAAATAGTTATGAAGGTCCAATTTGCTTTAGATAAAATATTGCATGCATGATATAATTTTATAATGTACAAATTCCCGTAGCACTTATATTGTGTATATTGTGTATCATATACATCCGGTAAGACTCTTATTATTAGGTATTTCTTAGTATAAAGATGCACTTCAATTCAAAAAAATTGAACGAGTCCACTCGCCTAACCGTTAGACTGGCCGACAATAATTTGTGAGATATATACAATATGCCCCTTAATTACCTTTAGTGAAATACAAGACAAATTATATAGAGTATCTACCAAGTGCCAACAACTCTTCTCATTAATGCACTCTTACTTCTCATTTGTGTGTATAAATTCCTATACCTCTACACTCAATAAACTAAATAAATATAAAAGAAAAAGGGAATCTAAGATTACTCAACAAAAACCCAAAAAAAAATGTGTCAAGAATTTCAAACCCTCCTTTTCATCCTCCACTTTTAACTTGTGAACCTTCTTCTTCTTCTTCTTCTTCTTTCCTCCTCTTCACTTCTCCTCCTTCATTCTCTCTCTCTCTTCTTTCTCTCTCCTCCTTCCGGTTCATGGATATTGATCTCTTCTGCTCTATCGGGGGGCTTTTCGGGTTCTTTCTGTATCCAAACATTTGCATGGCAGCCGCTCTCAAAGTCGACCGGCCGTCTCCAATATCCTCGTTCGATAATATTTCAAGAACTCGCCATTTTCTCAAGCTATTCGGTCTTCTTTTCATGATTCTCGTGGTTTTCGTTAGCTCGTCCGGCGGCCCCTCAAAACCCTCCGATTTGGACATAGCGGCTTCCCCGAAAACCCTTTTCTCTGAGACTTATGCCGGAAAAATTGATTCTCATGATCAAACGGCGGATTTAGGTGCCGGTAAGAGGGAAAACGGTCACATTCCGTATCATGCTTTGAAGTCGAAAGGGAAAGATCGCGGCAGCTGGTACGAGTCGAGCGATCATGAAGTTCCGAGTGGGCCCAACCCTATTTCCAATAAATGAATTAAATTATACTATATTAATTTTTCTTGATGTGCTGTGATATACTGGTATGTGGGGATGGTTTGAAGGAAATATTATTTGTATTAATGGCAAGTTTGTTACTGTTAATGGTAAGTCGTTGTTATCGTCTGTTATGGATCAGCCTCCATTAATATAAGCTTGCTCAAGGTAAGATTTTTTTTTTTACTTTGTTAAATATCATAAGAGTAAATCACTACACATATTTGTGTGTGTGTGTGTGTGTGTGTGTGTGTGTGTGTGTGTGTGTGTTCTTAAGTTGATGAATTGTGATTCGTTTTTGTGTATTTGTGTTGGTTTTTCTCGTGATTCGTCACTTTTTTTGTTTTTTTTTTCTTACTTTGAATGGCTAATTATATTCTTCATTTGTAAATTGAAGCCATTTAACTCTGAAAAGAATCAATCTTGGATTCTAGCTGGAAATGACATTATTTTCGACCATTTTTGTCAAAAGCTGTGAGGGCGCCTGAGTATTTTTCTTTTAAGTTTGCAAATAGTCCCTGCATATATCTTATCTTAGGGGAAATGTTACGGTCGGAACTATTTCGTCGGAGTTTGTAATCGTTAGATCATCATGTAACCGTCGGAGATAATTGATCTAACTGTTACAAATTCCGACGAAATGATTTCGTAACGGGACCGTAGCATCTCCCGTTCTCTTACTCTAATAAACTATGTTAATTTTTTTAAGGAATTATTATAATAAAAAGAGCAAACATGAATCCGTGAGTGTTTTGTAGTATAAATGGATTTTTGGGTTAGGGTTTTACCATTTTGAGGTGAAACAAGGTAAATGGGACTTTGAGGGTTAAAGGAGGGGCATTGTTGTCAGAAATGGGTGGTGATGAAGGGGCTTTTGTTTTGTTTTG